GCCTTCTTGTTTGTAATCTATCTAAGACCTCATCGTTGCTCAGATGATATCCTTAGCATCCTTCTGTAGAAACATATCTTTGTCGCCTCGAATTTCTTCCTCATCATTGAGGAAATCGTCCAACATTCGCTGCCGTAAAGAAGAACAGATGTCACGTAATAGCACAGTATTCTTTTCTTTGTTACCAAATACATCTATCTTTAAAAGCTATCCCTAAATGTAACATTACGTTTAACCTAACCCTAAGAGTAAACTCTTGATTTACCTTGAACATAATATAAAACCTTAACTCAAAACGAACACAGGTCTTTCGCAACAACGCACTTCTTGCTAACATGAATGAGAACGTTAAATCTAAATGATCAGTTTTTACGATAAGCACGAATTTACCTAGATAGACAAAGAGAAACGGGGAAAAGGCGCGTGTGTGTGTGTGAGATAGATAGATAGAAAGAAACTAAGACAGCGCAAGAAACGATAGCAAAGGAGAATATTTAGGCAGAATTGACATGTATTCTTAGGAATTGCTATCGGAATATTTCTCACAAGCCTTATATTGTCGTATTTGGTTCAAGGGAAGAATTCTGGGGTTCCTATTAAGGAAGAAGCAAAAAGAATTACCAACCTAAATCTTGTTATTCATCACTCTACGACGGTCTCACACACGCACGTGTCGCTTTGTATTTTACCTTTGGACATTACGTCTTTGCTTTTGTTGCTTGCTTATTTTTTCTTTCTTTCTTCAATTCTTTCTTTGTTTGTACTTTCTCCTACTTTTGTCGTCCGTTTCGTTCCTTCAGGTCTTTTGTTTTTTTTTTTTTTGTTTGTTTTATTTTCTTCGTATTCTTTATTTCCTTCTTTCTATTTCGGTCGTCGTTATTAGACTTCCTAATTCGTGTCTTTCTTTCTTTATTTATTTTCGCCTCTTTCCATTTTAATTCATCAATTATTTTATCTTTTTTTCTATCTATATCCGTCTCCATTATTCCACTTTCTACGTTTTCTCTTTTCTTTCTTTCTACTTCCGGTTCCTTATTTTTCTTATTTTCTCTCTCTTCTTTCTTTCTCTATTTTTTTCTTCTTTTTCTTTTTTGCCCTTTCCCTCTTTTGCTTCTTTCTTTCGTTCCTTCCTCCCTTCTTTCTTTATTTTAGCATCTTTCCATCTTTATCAATTTTTTTTAATCTTTTTTTTCTTTCTATATCCGTCTTCTTTGTTCAGTTTTCTCTTTTCTCTTTCCTTTCTTTCTACTTCCGTTTCCTTATTTTTTTTACTTTCTCCTTTCTCTATTTTTTCTTCTTTCCATCTTTATCAATTTTTTAAAAATATTTTTTTCTTTCTATATCCGTCTTATTTGTTCAGTTTTCTATGTTTTTTATTTTCTTTCTTTCTTTATTTCTTTCTCTTCTTTCTTTCGTTAATTTTTAATTCCTCTTTTTTCTTTCTTTCGTTCTTTATTTCTTCTGCTTCTTTCTTTGTTTCTTTTGTTCTTTCCTTCTTTGTTTCGTTCATTCTTTTTCTTCAACTTTATTTCTCGTTTCTTTCGTTTCGTTCGCTCTTACCCTCTTTCGCGTCTTTCTTCTTTTAGTTCCTTCCTTCTTTCTTTCTTTCTTTCTTTCTTTATAATTTGCTTTTTTCTCGTTCTTTAGCTTTTCTTTTTTTCGTTTTCTTCTTCATTCACTTTTTTACAGTCCCTTCTTTTAAACCAACTTCTTTTCCTATTTATTCTTCTTTTTCATTCAACGTTTTTTCTTTGCAACATCTTTCTTTTATTTATTCGTTTTTTCTTTGTTGTTTTTTTTTTAATTTTATTTATTCGTCTTTTATTCGCTTCAATTCTACTTTTTTTAATTTTCCATTCTTGCCTATATCTCTGAGATGAGGCATTATGATTACTTGTATTATTTACATTATTAGGACTGTTATCCTCATCTTCATTGTCATATTCACGACGTTTCTTCTGTTGTATGCTCCGGTCTTCTTCAGGTGATTGGAATTGCACTTATCTTAAAAAAATTCTTTATCCACTGGGATATGTGTCCTCCAGGGCACATGGCCCAGTGGATAAAGACGTTGGTTAGATCCATTGACTAGACCCAAATGCGTTCTGGCATTGGTTTTTGCGTAGTATTGTGGAACTTAGTCATGAATGTTAGAAAGGATGCAACAAAGGTATGTTGTTCGTCTGAGCACTTTCGAGGAAAATTGCAAATAGCGATTGAACAGTAAGAGATTTGCGATCTTTTTTTTTTCTGTCAGTAAAAGTTTGTAGGATGGAAAAAAAATCGTCACCCACGAGGATGTGGAGACACTTTTGGACAATATCAAGGCAAGAAAGTGAAGACATGACCGCTCCTGTTCATATATGGCAGCAGTAGACCTTGTACGTTCTGGCCTACTGCAGGTGATTGGAAAATCGAACCGAGTCCTTTATTTCGTCCAGTGGGGTAGATTGCTCTAGTTCCATTTGCTATGCCTCTTCCGGATGTCTCAGTTAGTTCCCTTTAATTCAAGTCTCCAAGTTTTTTGGTTCATCACTGCTGTAGCTTGATATTGAACTCACAACTCTTTGGTTTAGTCACTGGATCTAACCAACGTCTGTATCCACTGGGTCATGTGTTTTCAAGGACACATGGCCCAGTGGATAAATAAATTTTAAAGATAAATGCAATTCCAATCACCTGAAGTAGACCGGGGCTTACAACGGTCGAAATGTTGTGAATATGACAATGAAGATGAGGATAACAGTCCGAATAATGTAAATAATTTTCCATTCTTTGTATCCAAAATCCGTCCTTCTTTCAGTCAGCCATTCCATCTTTTCATCATATTTGACTTTGTTTTTCTTTTATCATTATTTCATTCATTCTTTTGTTCCCTCTTTCTTCCCTTTATTTTCTTTCTTTCTTTCTTTCTTTTTCTTTCTTTCTTTCTAATATGCAACTATTGCATGACTGAAAGAGTGGCAAATTTTTAATTAATGTTCTGAACGGGTTTCAAATCGAGATTTAAACTGCCGTCTTTGAAAATCGGTTGCCTATCATGCTCTTCTTCTGAAAATGGCGCAATATAATCTTCCATATAGGCACTGTGGCACTTTGACTGAATAAAACAATATGCATATCACGCTCCCTCCATGTACCCGCTTAAAACATCCACATCTAATAACCCTCTACCTAGAGAGGCTCTTGGGCCTTTCGTTCGGTGTACAATATTTTTTAAAAACTTGATGAAATATCTAGCGTCCGTCTTTTCTTCGTTTTCTTTTAAGTTATATTCTCTTTTTTTTTTCTTTCCTTTAGAGTTTTTTTTATTTTTTCATTTCTTCAATTTTACTTAAATCGTTCGGTTAAAATCAAAAAGGTGAAATAAACGGAACAGATCTCTTTGATTGCTTGTTTTTTTTTTATTTCTTTTTGCTTTGTTTTTTTGTTTCTTTCTTTCTTTCTTCCTTTCTCAATGACTTTCCTTATTTTCTGGTAAATGCAATTGCTTTAATTCTTTGTTCATGTTTCGCGTCTTCGTTTCTTTTCACTTTTTTTTCTTTAGGTTTTTTATTTGTTTCCAACTCTCTTTATTGTTTTTATTCTTTCTTACTTTCATTTTCTCGTCTCGTTTCTTTTTTCTAATTTTTCAATTGCTGCTTTCTTTCCACTTTTCATTCTATTTCTTTCATTTTTCATTCATTTTCATATGTCTTTTCATTCCTTTATTTAATTTTTCGTTCTTTTAATTTTCATCTTTTATTTCAGTTTTCTTCTTTCCTTCTTTCTTTTTTGTTGCTTTCTTTCATCTTTTCAATTATTTGTCATTTTGTTTTTTCTTTCATATTTAAATAATATATTTTTTTAAATAAAATACATTGATAATTAAATAATGTATCAATAATTCAGATTTAAATAATCTTTTTTAATTGTTTATTTTATATTTCTATTTTCTTCTACTTTATTTCAGTTTTCTCCTTTCTTTCTTTTTCTTTCTTTCTTTTGCATATTCCCTTTTCTCTTTCTGCCTAGCATTTCTTTGTTTGTTTGTTTGTTTCTTTCTTTCTTTCTTTCTTTCTTTTACTTGCTTCACTTTCTCTATCCGCCTAGTAATCTTCTATGTATTTTTTTCTTTCTTTCTTTTCGTTCTTTCTTTCGTTCTTTCTTTCGTTCTTTCTTTTAAATCCACCATCATTTCTGTCCCCAAGTAACGCTTTTGTTCGTTGTTTGTTTCTTTGTTTCTTTGTTTCTTTCTTTCTTTCTTTCTTTCTTCTTTCTTTCTTTCACATGTTTCACATTCTCTGTCCGCCTAGTAATCTTCTATGTATTTTTCTTTCTTTCTTTCTTTCTTTCTTTCTTTTACTTGCGTCACTTTCTCTGTCCGCCTAGTAATCATCTATGTATTTTTCTTTCTTTCTTTCTTTCTTTCTTTCTTTTAAATCCCCAAGCATTTTTGTCCCCAAGTAACGCTTTTGTTCGTTGTTTTTTTGTTTGTTTGTTTGTTTGTTTGTTTGTTTCTTTCTTTTTTTCTTTCTTTCTTTCACATGTTTCACATTCTCTGTTCGCCTAATGATCTTCTATGTATTTTTCCTTTCTTTCTTTCTGTCTTTCTTTTTTCTTTTTCTTTCTTTCTTTCTTTCTTTTTCTTTTTACTTGCGTCACTTTCTCTGTCCGCCTAGTAATCATCTATGTATTTTTCCTTTCTTTCTTTCTTTCTTTCACATGTTTCACATTCTCTGTCCGCCTAGTAATCTTCAATGTATTTTTCTTTCTTTCTTTCTTTCTTTCTTTCACATGTTTCACTTTCTCTGTTCGACTAGTAATCTTCAATGTATTTTTCCTTTCTTTCTTTCTTTCTTTCTTTCTTTCTTTTTATTTGCTTCACTTTCTCTGTCCGCCTAGTAATCTTCTATGTATTTCTTACTTTCTTTCTTTCTTTTTTTCTTTCTTTTATTCTTTCTTTCTTTTATACTCTAACTTCCGTACACATATCTGTACACAATCGCTCACCCAAACATATGCACGCACAAACACCTATACTTTCTGTCATTTTGTTCCCCTCGCTTACAAATCGTGCTGTCGAAAACACAAGAGTCGATGCGAACAAGCACTTTACTACTGTTGCTACCGCTACAACAAGGACTGCTACTAATTCGCCTCTGCTAAAGCTACTATTGCCTTCTTCTCCTTGCCGAAGAGAGTTTCTATCTCCAATCCATCCCAGTCCGTTCTTTCCTTGCTATCTTTCACTGGTCCACATCAGTCGAGTGTCTCAAAATCGTAGACCTACCCCTCCCTAACTGACTTACCGTTCCTGGCACACCTGGCTTAGGTGTCGTCTTTGTACCATTTAGTATGTCTTCGACGAAACATTTCGAACAGTTTGAGATTTCAGTTTTGCTTTGAAACTGGAGTGAGGAAAAAGGATATTTATTATTTTTTTTTAATTATCGGTGTTGGTTTATTTATTTATTTATCCTTGTTTCTTTAGAGTGTCGGCTTCTATCTAATGAGACGTCTGTTGGATTTCTATATGGTGTGGTTTTAGGAGATCTCATTCGTACCCCTAACTCTCCCCGATACAACTGTTTTCAGGAAGGAGAAAAGAAGGAATTTAAAAAGGGAAAGAAATACCAAACAAAACCAAAAAATAAACAATGGAAAAAAATGAAAAAAAAAATATTGACAGATCATAAAAAATATAATTTTTTTTTTCATGCCTTCTTGTTTTTGTTTTTACTTTTCTAATTTTAAAAGGGACGTTTTTTTTTTTTTTCAATGTTGAGTAAAATATTGGGGCTTTGATGGGAAAATGTCGACCCTTTTTTTCTGGTGAAATTTTTAGTCAGTTTTTAGTCATCAACTGGGTTTAATATTTCAACTCAAAAGCAATGTTTTATTTTATAAAATTTAGGTTTCAAAATTTACAAGTTATCCCAATTTACTGCTTCACCGACAATAATGCGTACAATAAATAGTTCAGTATTTACACAATCATAATAATATATATATATATATATATATATATATATATATATATATATATATATATATATATATATATATATATATATATATATATATATATATATATATATATATATATGTATACCTTCATTATTATATAAAAAAGATTTTGTAGAATCTATCTATCTATCTATCTATCTCATTCTGTTCACATCAACCTACCTACCTACCTACCTCAGACTGTTCATATCTGTCTATCTATCTATCTATTTATTTATCTCAGTCTGTTCACATCGACTTACCTACCTACCTCAGTCTGTTCGTAACTATCTATCTATTTATCTCAGTCTGTTCATATCTATCTATCTATCTATCTATCTCAGTCTGTACATATCTATCTATCGATCTCAGTCTGTTCATATCTATCTATCTATCTATCTATCTATCTATCTATCTATCTATCTATCGTTCTCAGTCTGTTCATATCTATCTATCTATCTATCTATCTCGGGTTTTGACTATTTAAATCTATATTTTCACACTTTATTTCTTTCAAGATCCTCGGCCTTATCTTTGTCTATATTTGAGCAAGCAATTTCTCGCCCTCCCTCACTCTCTCATTATATATATATATATATATATATATATATATATATATATATATATATATATATATATATATTTGTTTGGGTGTGTGCTTGCATATACATACATATAGTACGTACATCGCCACAGATGGGTATGTTTTTGCTGAACTGGCCTGTACTTACGAGTCACATGTGACTATAGCTTTTCATAATATGTGCTTATATTTATAGGCACATTTTAATAATTGTGTAAACATTAATTTCTGCGGCGTATACGTAGTAAAACAAGAGTACAATATCATTCCATATTAATTACATTGCGCGCAGGTACGTTGTTTCAAACGATTTCCAAACTATGTCATAAGCTCTAATGAAATAACTTTCTTATTATTTCTTAATGAAATCTTTTTTTTATTACTTACGATTCACACAATACGTACAATCAGTTAAAAGAAAAATCTATATTTATTTAAACACATTTCTACGCACACAAACCTTAAGACATATACATATTAAAACATATATTTCAAATAAAGAAAACACAAAAGAAAAACTTAATGATAGATTCTACTGCACACAGATATATACACACACCTATAGATACATATATATATATGTATATTTATATTGTATAATGCGCATTTTAATTGCACAGTGGTTTCAAAATTAACTATAATTACAAGGAAAATCGTCAAAAACGTTGGATGGATGTGATTTTTACAAATATCGTATGGAATCTGTTTATACTTACCTTCAAACTTAGAAAGATAATACCGAACGGAATATCTTTCTGGAAAGAAATAAAATAAAGATATATGTATATATTTATATTTATATATATATTTATATCCTCTGAACCAATTTGGAATACCAGGAAGAATCCAGGTGAGTTAACTGATTTCTGTTTTGTTGTGTCTTAGGTAGAGACTTTGTGTGTTTTGTCGGAAGGAGGTTTCGTTTCATTGGCTTCGTATTTTCTCCAAAAACAAAGTTAGGAGGACACCCACACGATATTATTATATTTACAAGAAAACAATACACACCTATAGCTATTTTCACAGATATACCTATATACTTACACACACATACACACACGGAAATCATAAATACATGAAAACATACACACTTTCTATGCGCGCGCAGACATACACGCAGACACACACACAGAGAAGCATACAGACAGAGACAAACAAACGCACACACATAGGTACACATACTTATATGTTTAGGTGTGTGTGCCCGCGTGTGTGCACGCGCGTATGTTCGAGAGAAATTTAGTGTGTTTATGTGTGTGTGTGTGCATATTGAATAAAATTTGATATATGTAATTGTCAAAGGGTGATCAATCCCAATAGAGAGTTTATAAATATAAACTGAGGCGATAGAAATCAACACTGATCATCACTTAAGGGATGAATCAGCTAGTCGTCATGCAATGTCACTATCTATCTATCTATCTATCTATCTATCTAAGTCAGTCTCATTGTCTGTCTATAAAGTATCTATCTATCTCAGTTTCATCATTATCTATCTATTTCAATCTCATCATTATCTATCTATCTATATATATATATATATATATATATATATATATATATATATATATATATATATATATATATATATATGGGGTGTGTGTGTAAATGTCATTATCATATGCGTTTATGTATGTGAAGATTCTCCCACACATGCGGTTATTTTCATATACTAACATTTACAGTTTATACAGATGCACAACATATACATATACACATATTTTATCACACACCTACAAGTACTGATCATTTATCTTTATATATTTTACAAACGTATCCATTTGAATGGTCATTCACACAAACAAGGAACACATTTTGAAACATATATATATATATATACACACACACACACACATATATATATATATATAGATAGATAGATAGATAGATAGATAGATGTGTATGTATATACATACATGAGCACACACACATATACATATATACATACTTTTTTACACAGACAAATATATATATATATATATATATATATATATATATATATATATATATATATATATGTGTGTGTGTGTGTGTGTGTGATCCACAGATTATTTTGCTGTTTCGCTCATCAATGTGGCTAGATATCCGACTGCCTCAAGCCAGGATCTAAATCCAACAGATATATATATATATGGACATATATATATATATATATATATATATAATGACATTGAGAATCTGAATCTGTTTTATGATTTACATCAATTGTCAGGCCATATATATATATATATATATATATATATATATATATATATGTGTGTGTGTGTGTGTGTGTGTGTGTGTGTGTGTGTATGTGCAGGTGTTTTTGTGTATGTATGTGTGTATCTATATGTCTGTATGTACGTGTGTATCTATATGCCTGTATATATGTGTGTGTATCCATGTGATTGCGTGTATGTATGTGTGTGCATCTATGCATGTGTGTGTATGACCGTGTCTGTGTGTGTATGTGTGTGTATGTATGTATGTGTGTGTTTCTGTGTGTGTGTGTTTCTGTGTGTGTGTGTGTTTGCATGCGTATGTATTGTCAATACAGGACTATTCAGATGTAAGTCAAAAATACAATTATTCGTATGTGTCTGAAAGCCCTACACAAAAGCAAGTATAGAAATGGCTAAAATCTCCTCCCGGAGTGTCTGCTGCATCAAATATAGTCATTGTGGCCGAATACTCTGCTGGAAATTGTAACTTGATCGCACACGTGGAAACAATTATGCGACGAGTGATCTGAAAGTAATGCCTCCCGCGGATTTCCACACCAAATCTACAGCCTATACAGGCAGTGCAATACCACCGTCACACAGAAGAGTACTTTCCTAAATCGTCACAACAACTGCATATGCAGTATTTACATTAGTCGGACTATTGTCCTCATTTTTGTCGCCATATTTGTCACAACGGACACATGGCACAGTGGATAAAGGCGTTGGTTAGATCCAATGACAGGCCCAAAGAACGTGAATTCAATACTTGGTTAAGGCAGTGGAGAACTTTCAGAGGGAAAATTATCAGGAGATAACTGATAACTGACATCCATCAATGGCACGTGGAACTAGAACAGTCTACCCCAGTGATCGAAATAAACGGTTCAGTTCGAAATTCCAACACCTGAAGAAGGCCGGAGCGTACAACGGCCGAAACGCTGTGACAAATATGGCGACAAAGATGAGGACAATAGTCCGACTAATGTAAATACTGTACATAATACCTCATCTCAGAAATATAGACAGAAACTGCATATGCATTTTCACTAGCGAAGAACCCACTATTTGATAGCATTTTTTGACAGCTGGGCAGTATCACCTGCAACGTGTCGTGTCACATATCGCGGTTACACTTACAGGAACTTAGTGCTGTCAGCTTAACTGTGCTCACATCCGCTGTTTGTTTATCGTAACCGTTCATCTAATATTAATTAAAGTCAGTGAGTGCCTTTTATTTTTTTGTAGAAATGAATCACGTTACAGACATCTGTCTCGTATGCCTTTCCATGTCAGATGTCATTTCGCCAGACTGCCGTTCCGTTCCTATCAGTAACAAGATAAAAGTATTTACAGTATATGTTTAGCTTTTAATGCCAACACCAGTGTCAACCCCCATAATTTTCCATAGCAATTGAGATAAATTTTTTTAGCATATCGCATTATATGAATGTAGCCGATCATTTTATTCTGTTACTTTATTAAGTATTTGAGTTCCTGTCATTGTAAAATCCCTGACCACTTCTACTTCTTCTTCTTTTTCTTGTTCTCGTTCTTCTTTTTCTTCTTCTTCTTTTTCTTCTTCTTCGTCGTCGTCGTCACACGTCACATCAGGATACGGACGATCATTGTTTCCCAATACGTTCTTTCGCCTATGGACCTTAGCAGATTTTTTCTACTATTTAGTATGCCCCACCCACCTCACGTCCTTTCAAGCATACAAACAAACTCACCGACTAGGTGGAACGCAGTCTCCCCTAACCCTCTTCCACATTGTACCCATGTGAGGGTTACTTTTCCCAATACCCTATTATTTATTACGCGTGCAAAGTTTTTCAGCTGGCTCCTTGTGATTTGTAAGCATCAGGCTTCTTTTTGTTGTCATTTTCGTTAGGATTTCTTCGATGCTTGTTCGCTCCTTACAGGGAATTTTTAGTGTACTTACGAAGAAACACTTTTCTACTGCCACCTGTTTTCACGTCATACGACGCACCAATGTTCTGCAAATTCTAACCTAAACAAGACAACGCGAGTAAAATTCATCCAGAATTCACCAATCACACGAACGCATATAAAGAGCACACACGCATAGAGACGAACAGATGTCTACGGATTTCGTGCGGGTATAATCGTTATTTACATTATACGTAAGTCGTGTCTATAAAGGGGTCAACTATTTAAAATGTAGTTCTGATTTGTAACCAAGAAGCAAGGGGCGGTAGACTTTGAGAAAGACGTAAAAATATGCTGCACGATGAAATCAATCACAAACTCATAGGTAGATATCGACTAAAACGGATTCGAGTAACTGCTAAATATTTTGCCATTTACACAATCAATTACGATATTTACATGCACTCGAATATGTATGTATATATATGTACGTATGTATGCATGTAGGTACCTATTTATCAAATGACGTTCTGTTTGTAACTGTCTGTCTCTATGTATCTATCTATCTATATGCTATATATATATATATATATATATATATATATATATATATATATATATATAAAATGATGGTCTGACGATTGCGTTTAGCATGAAACAGACTGTCGCCTCTGGGTATTGACATCAAATGGCCAGATTTACATTTGCATACGTCGTATCCATGATATTGATTTTTTTAATCCATAAATATATCATACTTTTAAACTATATTTTAGCATATATATATATATATATATATATATATATATATATATATATATATATAATATATATATATATTTAATGTATGGTATATTTATGGGTTAAAGTCATTCATATCAGGGATACAGCGATATATGTAATATATATATATATATATATATATATATATATATATATATATATGATGACATTCTATAAGTACCTATCTTTTTTATCTATCTAGCTATGTATCTAATGTAATTCAGTTCGTAATATATATATATATATATATATATATATTTGTATCTACGTACGAATGTATAATGTTATTCTATTTGTATCTATCGTATCAATCTCTTTCTCTCTTTCACTCTCTCTCTCTCTATATATATATATTCATATATGATTATATTTATCGATCTAATGTCATTCTCTTTGTATCTATCAATCTATCTAAAGTCTTTCTCTTTGTATCTCTCTATGTAGCTATCTGCTTCTTTCTGTATATATATATATATATATTTCTACGAATCTCATTCTGTTTGTAATTATCTGTCATTCTTTTGGTACCAATCTCACTACCCCATATCAACTGTCTTTTTTTTCTTCTTTCTCTTGATATATATGTTATTATGTGTTTGTATATATATATATATATATATATATATATATATATATATATATATATATCAGTCCTTCTCTGTATGTATTTCAATATGGTTGCGTTACCATATGTGTACGTGTGTGTATGTGATGTGTTAATTTAAACAGGGTCAATATGCAAGTTTTCATCGTATGTAACCGCTAAATTGATTCATGTATAGTCTATCCCAGGTTGTTCATGATCTCTCGCTCTCTCAATCCGGCCATCGATGTAATATCATTCTCTTCGTTTCTATCTATCTATCTATCTATCTATGTTATCATCCTTGTTTTTATTAACTTAAGTTGTATAGGGTCTTTTTTTATTCTGCTAGTACTTTCGGCTGTACATTCAGCCATCCTCAGGCAAAGAAATTATTTTGTCTCTTATAGTAGATCCCGGCAATAGCGGACACGAAAAATTAAATGCGAAATCGAAATATGTTTTTGTT